TTGGTTGTAGCCTGCCAACCTTGTTATAACCTCACGTGGCAGAAGGAGTGAGGGAGCTCTGTGGGATCCCATTCATGAGGGATCGACCTTTGTGAGCTAAACACTTCCCAAAGGCCCCACCTCCTGATACCATACATGGGGTATTAGGATTTCAACATGCAAATTTGGTGGGACACACACATTCAAACCATGGCACAGCCCCAATGTCAATAACCTAGCAGTGCCCAGCATACAGTAGGCACTCAGTAGGCATTAAATGAATGGACAAACATACTTAGAGCATGTGTGGAGATGGAGAAAGGTCAGGTTGGAAAGGCAGGCCCTGAGGGCTGACTGGGAGGACACTGATCCCATTCCAAATGTGGCGTTTGGCCTTTTCCCTGTGGGTCATGGGTGTCATTGCAGGGTTTCAATTCAGGAGCAACATGATGGAAATGGTGCTTTAGGAAAATGAATCTGCTCTCATTAGCATTGACTCTAGACCTACTGAGACAACAAGGCATAGATAAATGGTCCACATCCATCCTTGGAAATACAAGCAGTTGCCCAAATGAACCACACTCTATCTACACTGGCTGAGCCAATGAATTAGTTCAAATCTTCCGGTTGGAGAAGTCCCAAGAGCTTTTAATTACAAAATGCAATCATTTACAAAGACACAATGGGGCATTACGGTAATCACTCAATGAACTCCTATAAAGCTGCCAACTATCTGTCCTCCCACCAAGACCTTGGACCTGGGAGCCTGCTTCTCCCATCCACCAGCCTTGCCCTTGGGGCAAGGAGTCCCTGCATCTCCCTGGCTGGTTCCAGACCTGGAGTCACTTCTCACACACTCTTGGCTCTAACTCCATCTCAGGTTCTGTCTGTGGCCTTCTCTGGCTGTCTGCAACAGATTCGAGGCCCTTCTCACCCAAGCTTCAGGCCCATGGAATCAACGCATGCTCCCAGCCGTAAGTGAAAAGTGACTCCCTACCCCATGGGTCAGGCTCCCTGCTCGGGACTTAAGAGAAGCCGCACAGTGGGATGACCTAGCCCAGGCTTGAGTTCAACCCTGGCTCAGCCACTGAGAGGTTTTTTAAGTCCTGTCAACCTCAGCTTCCTCAGCGGATCACAATGCCCCACTCACAGAGCCGCGGTGGGTGTCAGGAGGGGTTCAATCTGTGAGATGAGATGCAGACTCTACCCTTACAGAACTTACAAAGTCACAGAAGAATAGAACCAAGTTATTTTCACTTGTGAAGAGGTCAAATTGAGTCAAGTGCATTTTACCAAGTGCCTTTGGTCCAAATCTCATTCACAAATCCTTCAAAGTAATCCTGCTTTTAAGCTGACCCTAAAGGTGCCACCCTGGATTTCAGTCTACTCTCACGCAGCAGTTACACACAGCCCTCTGATTTTGTTCCTGAAATATCATCTTTCCTTAATTAAACACATATCCCCCACTCCAGCCATCCCAAGTGAAAGTGGATAGAGGATCGGCATTGTCTCAGGCTTCCTTGGACAAATGAGATGTGGTGGGCACACCCCATGGGAACATGTGCAACAAACTGCATGCGCAGTTTGCATGCACAGGTCCTTAAAAAACATTATATGAGACTGAACCCTTACTCTGTGCGAGGCAGCATTCTAAGTACTTGACATGGACTAACTCACTCAGTCCTTACAAATCCCAGAAAGTATACAGACATCCTTGTTATCCCCAATGCACAGAGGCACGGAGAAGTTCAGTACACTGTCCACATTATATAGCTAGTAAATGGAGCTGAGATGTGAAGCAGGAAGTCTACACTTCACCTTAATATGGTACTAAATATGCACACACATGCACACACACACACCCCAAGGTCTTCGGCACATCACCATCTGCCCACGAACTGCCAGTTTGTCCTCAATCCATCTTAGCCCTTCCCTGAGCTCTCTGTATCACAGGGAATGACAATTTCTAGGTTCCTTTGCCTCCAGCTTCCAGGTCAGTTCAGACAATAGGAAACTCTGATAGAAGATTGGCGGG